CCCCAAAACCCCAAAACCCCAAAACCCCAAAACCCCAGGCAATTATTATTTACAAAAATTAATTCGTCTATTAAAAAATACTTTTAAATTAAATGTTATCCTGAATTATTAATATTAATCAGTACTTTAGATTAGAATTATTAAGTCAAGAAAAAGGTGTTTGAAGTCCACCAAATGCTAATTGCTGCTCCAAGGCTTGATTTTGTAACTGCTATTATTGTTACTGCTGCTGTAGTAATTGCTATTACTACTGCTAAATGTGCTACTGATGTTGCTGCTAAATGTTCATTTAGTTCTGCTATTCTATCTACTGTTACTATTGAGCTAAGTCGAAATGATGTGTCTATTAAGGAGGATAGGAATTTTACTGTTACTAGTGTCCAGTTACAATTTATTATTATTACTACCTATCATCTTTTATCTGATTATTTTTTTGCTGTTGATTTCGATACTAATTATTTTGTCCTGCATGCTACTATCCAGGTGTCTGCATCTTCGACTTGAATAGGTCGAAGTTAAAGTTTCCTCGCAATTGCTTCAAACTGTTTTCTAGCTCTGGGTCGTTTTATATTTGTATTTAAGAGTTTAGCAAACTTATCTATCCTCCAATGCTGCTGGTTGCATGGCTAAAATTAGGTAAATTTATTTGCTATTACTGAATTTATGAGTTCTGACCCAATATATTGTCTTTGCTTATATTATTTGAGGCTCCTGTGCCACCTTGAATCATTACTTAGCCAAACTAATTTGGTAATTACTGATGTTCATTTTGAAGCTACTAAGCAACGCTATTTATACCTTAAAACTATTGCTACTGCTACTAATGAATCTATTAAGCCTGCTATTACTGCTGCTGAGTCGTTGAATTTTACTGATAAAAATTTGGTTGAATCTGCTGGGGCTGCTATTGTTATACCTACTATTAATGATTTTGTGTTTACTACTGGAGATTTTGCTACTACTGAATTTGGAGTAGGTTTTGTTATTACTGCTATTGTTGTTAATGTTATAATTATTATTAGGCCTATGCTTAATTCTAAAGCTATTCTGTTTGCTGTTGTCCGATTCTAGATTAGTTTTATCCCATTATCATGCTATTGAGATTATTCTGATTTTAATTAGAATTGTTTTAGTGGTTATCGTGTTCATTGGGGAATCCATATCTAGAGGGACTATTTGAATTAACCTAAGTCTCATTCTAAGGTTTGAAGGAGCCAAAGAGTTGATCACTATTTTGCTAGAGAGGTGGGACTCCAGTTTTGGTATCCGTGAGGCCATGTTTATTCAAAAAGTCCATTGGAATCTACATCATATTGTTGCTCGGTGTTTGTCTAACCCCCTTATTGGCCTAACTTGAAATCTCAGAATTATTAAGGACAATCTGTCCTGGAGCTCTCTTGTTTCCTTCTTAACCTAGTTAAAATCCAGTCTAGTTCATTCCTATTGGAGATTGATTAGACTAGTTCAAATTATTTTGGTTTACCAAATTATTTGGATTCTATGTGTTAAGGCTGTGAGGAGTAGAGTTGTAGACATTGCTTTAATTATGGTATGGAGAGGATCTTGAAGATTGATAGGTCTTGTTTTGATTTTATAGATGGACAGAGGGTGATTCCTCAACCTGATGAATGTGCTATCCCCCACCAGATCTATTTTGATGTAGCTGGCTCAAGCCCAAACTCAGATTTTGCAGCTACTACTGTTCTTATTAATGCTTAGCTTGTTAGCCCAGTGAGTGCATCTAAATTTATTGAGAATGTCTGTTTAGAGGCTGTCTCTAATTCGTCTGCTTGTTTAACCCTGTTGACATTGATTATATAGTTCTAGGTTGCATTTTATGATGTTCCTCCCTAGCTGATCCAAACAAATGCTAATGATGTTGATTCTGGTGATGATTCATAGTTTGAATAGAACCCTCTTATCTTTCTGAGTATCTTTAAGGTGGAGGGTTATTATGAGCTGTACTACCTTCATACACAACTTAGATTCCTCCAAAATCCTCAACATATATTTCATTTCCTTATGTGTGCTGTTAGTTCAAATGATGACCTTAAACAATAAAGCTTTGGCCAGCATTTTAAGATTAAGGAACTATCTCCTAAAAGATTTGATTCTACCCTCCTGGACCTGTTTAACCTATTATTTGCGATTATACTTAATCAGCACCTTGAGATGTGGGGTTATTAGAGTTGTATTAGGTTTAATAAATATTACTCTTAATCACATTCTTTTTATTATCGTTCAACAAATAGAATGGCTAATATACAATTTGAGGTTATTATGAAGTTTGGCATTAATGTTCATTTTTCTACTTTTGGTTGAAGTTATTTCCTCTTTATTGATTATTCATTTGCTATTTATTCTGCTATTACTAGAAAGGGTGATTGCCCTTTGTTTTATGACAGTGGTTGCACATTCCAGATGGACTTCCAGAAGAGGCTCCATGTTAATGAGGCCCTAATGGACTCTCATCTCGATTGCCTAAGTTTGCATGTCCTTGACAGAAATTTGATTGTGGCTGTTGTCTATGAGAGCAATCCTACGGAACTATTTGAACTTGATTCTAAGGTACATCAATATAAGCTTAGATAATCTAGGGTTCTTGTTGATGCCTGTGGACAACAGTCTGTGCAGCACTATTGATGCCATTCTGCTAACCATGTATGATAGCATGTCCTTAACTATGGTGTTGAATTTGCAACTATGTTCCAGGAATTGCTTGAGATACTGGTTACTGTTATTATACTTAGAGGTATTAGCCAGTTGATGCGTCGTAAATCAACTAAATTGTTTACTATTATTGTTGTATTTATGACTATCCTTATGACCCTCCTAGGAATTGATTTAGATTTTAAAGATCAAGTTTAATAGAACTTTATAATGGATCATGTTCTATTGTCTAAATAGAATTTTATGGTATCATCTAGACAACCTGTCCAAGTTCATTAACAATTTAAGTTGCTTTCTGTACGTTTTACTTTGGTTGGTTTCCAGGTTGCTATTATGCTAAAACTAGACCTTAAGGTGTTTAAATGAAAGTCAATTACTCAGGTTATTATAATTAAGATCCAGAATGCACAGTTTATTATTAACTTTGAGATTATGGAATCTAAATTAAGACTTATTGGCCATTTGATGTGGTTGCTAACTAATATTATGGTTACTGCTACAATTATGCCTAAGGATGAGCAAAGATAACGGTAGCTTATCCATTTTATGTTGATATTGTTTGATTTTAAGGTGTGTTTTAGCTAACTTATTAAACTGGTGTTTAGGAAGTAATATACATTGGCCCTTAATTTGTTTAGACAAGTTATAGTTGCTATTGTTGAGGTTGAGCCACTATTGCTTATGGTGGTTATCCTCCCACTTAGATCAAAGCTTAGGTTTGTGGACCTTAGCTAGTCATGGTCTAAATTTGCTGCGGCTAAGCTTGTATAATTTGTTATGGTTATCCTTAAGCATTGACATGTATTATTTGAGGTTGGTTCTACCCTTGTGAATTTAATTCTGATGGAACTTGAGTAATGATTATTTGACCTGAAGGAGTTTGTTAAATTTGAGGTTGGATTTAAATATGATGATTTTGAGGATTTATTATTGTACCTCCAGGCATAATTTGCTGATTTATCATTTAAGTTGCGCCTTGCTAGCCGATAATATGAGTTTAATGCTGTTATGGTACTTGCATGAGTCCATACGGAGTTTGGTACATGTATACTACTTATTATTAAGGCTAGGTAATTGCTTAAATTGATTCTAATTAACTATATTCTCCTGCTGGAATCATTTGAATCTAGCCAGTTTAATCTTGATTAATGGTGATATAATTAACTTGCTTTCTTTAATCATGAGTCCATGGAGTTTCAGTCAGATCATCATGTGTATGCTACTCGATAATCATTTGCTGATGTTATGGAGTAATGAATGGTTAATTTTGTGCAGCTACTTAGATACTTTGAGGTATGATTTAAGCTACAGTTTTTTATTAATTTTAGGTCAACATCACATGTTATTAATGCTGCTAATTCTAATTTGTGGATGAATTAAATTATTGAGAAATGCCTACTTTCTCCACTGAGTTCTTGTATACCATTTCATGCTATTCTTTTCCATCCTATCCGATATGCACTAATTTCATCTCTTCATTTTTCGTCTTTAGAGGGATAGTTTAGATTGAATTTCTAAAAAATTTAATAAACGAATTCATACTTTTAGACTTAGATTATGTTCTAATTCTTCGAAGGAATATTGTGTGTTGCGGTCACAGAGAATATGTTCTTGCTGGTAGGTGGTGGAATGAATTGTTCTGATATTGGCTACTAAATAACTTTCAGAGAGTCTTGTTTTACTACTAATGTTATTATCATTTGAAAAATAGTTCTTACTGAGTTGACTAATCTAAGAGGAGTCGAGTTTCTCAATCGGAATCTTGCGCGCTGTGATCTCATTTATTTTCTACTAAATAGTTAAACTTTAGTCATTTTTGCTGAGAGTGCTTTCCTGATTAAATTTGGCCCGCTTCTATGAGGGCTCCTCGATATCAGAGGTTCCTACTTCTTGAGGAACTCCAGTTATCTTTATGGGAGCTTGATAGTTAAAAGATCTTTTCAGCCCCACGTACTCGTTTGAAATTGAAAACTCCATCTCTCGAGGATTTCTAATAAAATAATTAATTAAATGTAATGATGAGATAGGTTTAGGTAGAAATTTGGGCGGGTGCTTAATCTATTGATTTTATACAAATTATAGAAGTTACTTACTTCTTGATGTCTTTTTCTATTACAGTAGGCTTAGTCTTGCTCAGAATTAGCTTAGCCTACTACACCGTTTTTTGATTCTCTTTGTTTTAAATATCCTTCTTATTTTCAAGATCTGTAGCATTTTTCCATTCTTTGTATGCAGGCACTCTGTTAAGATTCTGAATTGTTATTTCAGGTCTTTCAACAATTTCCATCCCATCAATTTATATGGTGGATTCTTTATAAAAGTTTTGCAAAGCGTATATCTCAAGCAATTTTAAAGAATCCTTTATCCTGATGCTATCTTTCTTAATGATGGGATCATTATCCAAAGCGAGATCAATCTTTTTTTGATCATAATGAAATTCTTCATCAGTATATTCAGCCTCTACATCACTTGGATATCCCGTGCAAATGGGCTCCATTTTATTATTAAATTTTAGCTTTGAGAACTCATGCTTCAAGACTGTCAGGGGTTGAGAGGGAATGCTGAATTTGAATTGAGGATTGTTAGAATTGTTGGGAATTGTTCCGATTTGTGTATTAATTCTTGTAGTTTAAAACATCAAAGGTTGAATATCAGGTTTTGATTTCTTAAGAAATTTCCCATTATTATTTTCACTGCTAATGTATTACTCTAATTTATCATTTTCTTACCTTTAATCTAGCGGCTAAGTAGGATTGTTTATTACCATTATGATTTATGCAATTTATTAGCGTCTACTTAATATTGAATAATTATTACTCTATCCATTAGTACTTATATTGAAATATTATTGTATATTTTTAAATCATGCAATTTTTTTATTTGCAACTTTATCATATAATTCCTGATGGGGTTTTGGGGTTTTGGGGTTTTGGGG